TTCGCTGAGGCGATGTCAGCGGCGCTGCGGTCATCGGCGGCGGTCGCTGTGGCGGCCGCATATGGGGTGGCGGCGGCGGCCGTTGAGGCGGCGACGGCGGACGCGGTGGCGGCGGCAGGCGGGGCGGCGGCGGCGGGCGAGGCGGCGGCGGGCGCGGTGGAGGCGGCGGAGGCGGCGGCGGAGGCAGCGGCGGCGGAGGCGGCGCTGTTGCGTGCTGAGCTGCGTGCGGCGGCGGCGAGTCTGGGAGCGGCGACGAGGGAGCTGGGCGAGGCTCGTGCGGCGGCGGCGGCGGCGGAGGTGTCGATCCAAGCGCGAGTGGCGCAGGCGGAGCTGGCCGCCGTCAACGAGGCGAGGTCTAGTGGAGGTATGGCGAGATGTAGCCGCGTCCGTTTTGACGCGTCCAGCGGTGCGCAGGCTATGGCGGTGCGGCGGGCCGAGCGGGCCGAGGGGCGGCACGAGGCTTTGCGTGCGGTGCAAGATGCAGTGGCGGCGGAGGTGGCGGCGCACGAGAGGCTGCAGTCACAACACGTCCCTCTCGACTCGCGGATGCACTCGCGGAGAGAGCGAGAGACGAGCGCACGCCGAGAGAGAGAGAGCCACCGAGAGAGCCCCACCGACCGACTGCCCTCAGCAGACGCCGCCGCGCAGCAGCAGTGAGTGCCCCAGGCTGAAGACGAGCTCGAGAGCACTTCTCTTCTCAGGTGGGCGGGGCTGCGTGCAGCGCCACGCCTCGCTCCGTGATGAGCTGATGGGCGGCCATGAACAGGTGGCGGGGCTGCGGGCAGAGCTCGCCGCCGCCAAGGAGGAGGTGCGGCAGGCGGCGGAGGCGCGCGCGGCCCACGAGGCGTCTCGAACAGTGTGATTGCGTCTCCGGCGCTGGCCCGGCGGGTCATTTCCCCTGTCTCCGTCTCCATTTAGGCGTTGCGCGAGGAGCACGCGGCGCTGCTGGCCGAGCACGCGGCGCAGGAGGAGGAGCTAAACCGGCCTTGGTACCAGCAGGTCCACTCAGCCGCCCTTGCCCCCACCGCCCTGTGAGAGTTTCCCCCACATGCAGCATGCGCCCCGCCGTAGGACCCGCGGCCCGACCGGCGGATCGGCCGGCGGCGAGGAGGCTGAGAACAAGGAAGGAGGGGGGGGAGTGGCCGCCGTCCACTTGCGTCGTCCGTGAATGTATGACTCTTCTTTATTTCTGCCAGCGCGCAGCGGTGTATCAACTTTCTATCATCTCCAGAGTCTAGTGACGTAGATCGTACGGCTTTAGTGTGTGGCTGCTGGCTCGATATTACTTTGATAGTGTGCTGTGCTAAGCCTGCTAAGGTGACGGGATAGGAGGCGTCCCTCGGGTCCTCCCATCGGGGGGGGTTTCTCTGTTCTCTCTTTTTCAAGTACGTACACGTACAGTAATCACGCCCCGCCGCGGCGCGCGCAAAAGGCGCGGCGCCGCCACACGGCCACACTGAACCACTGCTGCCGCCGCCGCGCTGCTGCTATATGGTTAGGCTATGTGTGCTGCCGCGCCGCCGCTTCTGCCGCGACCGCTCTTCCCCCCATGCCCCAAGCCACCACACGGCTCGTGTTACTGGCCCGGGCCTCACCACACTCTAAAGGGGCGCTAGCTGCCAAACTTTGGCTCCACCTCGATGACCTCGAACTCGACGCCCTCGACGACAAAGACCTCGCGCCTCCCGGACGGGGCGAGGTAGGTGAGGGGCGGGAAGCACATCTCCGCCTCGCCGGGGAAGCAGGAGAGGAAAGTGAGGTCGGCGCCTGGAGGTCGAGGGGAGCCCGAGGGGAGCCGGAGGTGAGCCGAGCCGACCAGCACGAGAGGGACGCCACACGGCATGTGCCGGCGCCTCGGTCCATGAAGGACTCGGCGCGCAGCTTGAAGAGCAGCGCGCGGCTCGCGCCGGCGGGGCTGAAGCCGACGCTGTACGACACCGCGACGCGGAGGTCAGTCGTTGTCGACATCGGCGCGACCTCGGTGCCGCCCTTGGTTGCGAATCCTTCGGTCAGCTCCAAATTCTTCGAGCGGGGGGGGGGGGGGCTGAGCAGAGGCGGGAGAGCCGAGGCGGCGGGGCTAGGGTTCCTCGGGGGCGAGTGCGGTGCCTTCATGCCTCGCCACACGTCCATCGGCTCGTTTGCGTCGGATCTCGCTGCGCCGACGGCCCGCAGCAGGCGGATCGCCTTGGCGAGAAGGAGGATGGGTGGCTAATGCGTGGATGAATTAGGCTTTGCGGCGGGCAGGCGCGCCTCGGCGATGAGGAGAAGCGTGACGGGGAAGGGGTAGGGTATCCCGTCGACATGGCGCCGCAGCGGGCCGTTGAGCGACCGGAAGCAGTTGCACGTGTAGAGGCGGAGCGCCGCGACGTGGGCGGGGGAGAGGCCGGCGAGGCGCGAGTGCGGGTGCGCCACAAAGTCGTCGAGCGAGAGGCCGGCGGGTCGGCCCTCGTCCATCACTCCGTTGGGCCACCGCCGCGGCAAGTCTCCGGTGCGGCCGTGCAACAAGTACTCGAGGCACTCGCGGTCGTCCTCTGTGCCAAGAACGATCTCATCAAGCCCCGAGGCGACCCATCTGCGTTCATGCGGTCCATGCGTGACACTGCCATTAGAACTTAGCGTGACACGCTCAGCCACTTAGGTCGTCTTTATCCCACGGCCGCTGCCTCGTAAGAGTCACCAACCTTTTTTCAAGCTTCCTTGCTATTCTCCACGATCTTGTCAGCTGGAGATGGATAGCGGTGTTCTCTCTCTCAATGTCAATGCGCCTTTGTTCTGCCCGCCAAAGGTCAACCGTGCGCCTCACTCGTTCCTTACTCGTTGCCTTAATCTGCCTGAGCCGCCTCAGGACGTTAACACGCTGCCTGAGCCGCTTCCAGAGGCGAGCAGCATTCGCTGACACTCTCCATGGCGGTGGCGCGCTGGGGCCAAAGTCCCATGCAGAGAGGAGGCTCTGTCCTTGCATGCGTGACACTGCAATCAGAACTAAGCGTGACACGCTCCCAAACTAAGCGTGACACGCTCCCAAACTAAGCGTGACACGCTCCGAGATCGCAATCTCCCCAGGGTTCGGCTCCAGTGTGGGTAGGGTTCCCCCTACCCCCAGGGAGGGGGAACCCGCACTGGACGCGCGTCTCGGGAACATATGTCGTGAGGAGCGACTTCATCTCACGGCAGGCAACGAACAAAAAGACGACGCTCGGCAGGAGGAGTAGGTCACACACGAGGACCGCCCACACGAAGCGTGTCGTGCGTGGACGGAGCACCCAGTGCTGAGTTTTCCCCTTGCGTGAAGCGGGTTCTTCTTTCGATGACAGCAGCAGAAGGGCGGCGAAGATCAGCGACGCCGGGTTGAAGTGGCCCACACTCGCGACGAGGGCCACGCCAAGAGCGAACGTACAGCGGTCAATCTCCTGCCGCAGAGCCAGCACCGGGTCGGCCATCGCCCGATGCAAACAACGCGGCGGTTTCGAGCATGCGATAATGGCACGCGATGGTCTTCCCCGGATTGAATTCTTTTTTGCTTCCTCTCTCGAGTCCTAGGCTGTTCTTCACCTTTCTACCTACCTACCTAGCGCAAGGACGACTCTTCTGACGCCCACTCCGATCATTTGCCGCTTAGAGGGCCCAACTTCAGAATCGTGCTTTGAGTTGGGTTGTTTCGTGTTGGGTAGGGTTGTGGTTGGGTTGGGTTGTTCCGCGTGAGGTTGGGTCGTCGGCGCGAATGGTGAGGTCTCGACCGCCGCCGCTCACGCCAGCGGACGGCCACCATCGGTGTTTTGGCTTCGCCACCGTCCAAGGCGTGCGCCATGCGCTCGCCGGCATCGAGCGAGCAACGTGATCGACCGAGCGGCTTGCTGTGTGGTCGCCTTCTTCTGGCTCTCGTCGAGAGCGTTTTGCGTCCCGGCGGGTGGGAGAATGTGTGTCGTCTGAAGTGTCACTGTGTGCGTCACATCGATGTGGATAACAAGCACGGTCGATCCGTCAAAGCGATACACTCGTTCCTATCACGCTGGAAGGCTTGCACGGAGCTCTGTGCCGGCACACAGAAGAGCCGTGCGGCAAGAGAAGAGCTCGATGGGGAGCGAGAACCGTCAGAGGTGCTCACCCAGGTTTCGGAAGTCCGCCTTGATGCGGTCAGTTCCCCCCAGGTTTGACCGCGCAGCTCGCAAGACTCGTCGAGCACTCGCAGCCTTTCTGCGCCTCTGACTCTGCAAGCTATGCGGGAAGAGCAGTTTATCCGCAATATATGGAAGAGGAGAGAGCCACAGGCTTTCGCTCGGGAGGGATTGAGTGCATCGCGACGGACTTCAGGTTACACCTGAAAATCTGACGGTTCTCGCTCCCCATCGAGCTCTTCTCTTGCCGCACGGCTCTTCTGTGTGCCGGCACAGAGCTCCGTGCAAGCCTTCCAGCGTGATAGGAACGAGTGTATCGCTTCGACGGATCGACCGTGCTTGTTATCAAGACCGATGTGACGCACACAGTGACACATCAGACGACACATATTCTCCCACCCGCCGGGACGCAAAACGCTCTCGACGAGAGCCAGAAGAAGGCGTCCACACAGCAAGCCGCTCGGTCGATCACGTTGCTCGCTCGATGCCGGCGAGCGCATGGCGCACGCCTTGGACGGTGGCGAAGCCAAAAACACCGATGGTGGCCGTCCGCTGGCGTGAGCGGCGGCGGTCGAGACCTCACCATTCGCGCCGACGACCCAACCTCACGCGGAACAACCCAACCTGGGCCAACAACCCAACCCAACCCAAAAAGCACGATTCTGAAGTTGGGCCCTCCGCCAACTCATATCTTTGCTCAGAGGATTCCCGGCGTATTCTTTTGTCTTAATGGGACTAGTTGCAAAAAGTCTCACGAGTCACGTGGATTGCGGAGAGAGAGAGATTTTTAGCAATACCAAACAACTCTAACACTCACACGTAATTTGGGGCCTGGAGCCCTGTTCACGCGCGCGCGAGACGTGCAGACAGGGTTGCCCGGTTGTTTTTGTGGATTGCGGTGGAAAAAGCACCAAAAACTACCAAAAACGATGTCACGGCCAGCTCGGCACTATCTACTTTTTAAGGTGGTAGCAAACCCTTGGCGCGCGCAAAGCTGTGTCCAACTTGTTGTAGATACTAATCGCAATCGCGAGCCACTCAAATCTGCTGATCCAAACCTGCTGTCTCGACCAGCTAGGGAGCGGACCGCACCCCACGAGGCGCAGGGAGGCCGAAGGTTACGTAGTCGTTCCGGTAGAGCTTGTACACTCTTGCGGAGAGCTCGGCGGTGTAGTACGAGTCGAGCCAACCCGCGGCATCCGTCCTATGCTGCGCGTCGCCCTCCGAAAAGGCTGCCACATGCGCGGGGTCGAATCCGTGGCGAAGCAGATCATCGCGCAGTCGCGCGTCGAAGCCAGGCATGAAGCCAGGCTCCAACCGAATGATCCTCACCGTCGACCGGAACGCCGCATCGCTGAGCCCGCAAAACGACGACTGCTCGCAGAAGTGGTAGTCGCACGACGGACGCGTGACGTGACGCCGGGTGAGCGCGCGGACAAAGTGGGCAAAGCTGATGTTTCCGTATCGTTGCTGCGGGGCGGTGCCCCAAGGCTGCCCCGGCTCGAGATGAGGCACCTTCAGCGGCTTTCGCTTGGGGTGATGCAAGGGGTGCGCCACGCAGTGACGGCCGGTCTCCACCTCGTTTTTGTAGTGGAGGCACTTGTCGATATAGGCCGACAGGAGCCTTTCCCTCGGATCGCGGATCGTCACGATCCACTCCACAAACGGACAGCCAATCAGGGCGCGACGCTGGTCGTCCGCGAGCGCCGACCACATCGGAAGCAACCGGCTTTGGTACGAGAAGGCTGCGATCGCCCATACGCCCTGCCCGCGACTCTCAGACGCTTTCAGCCAGCCGTGCTGGGCGTGGAGGAGCTTGAGCCAAGACGTCGCCATGTTCTTCTCGATGGGGCAGACCAAGAGGGTGGAGAAGATCAGCCACCGACCGCCCAAGCTCACAAGCGAGTCATCGGGTGCCGCGCTACCGCGCGAAGCGCACCGGGACGCCACCTTCGCGATCAACCGATTGCTCGATGTCGGGGTGCACGAGCAGTTGTAGCTTGCCCCGCCTGGCGGGAATCCACACTCCACCGTGCTCGGCCCGCACCTGAACGTGCCTCGGCACGCTGCGGTCCACATGCTGCGCGCCGTACAGCCAAAGGACCGACCGTGCACGCACGGCGCGACGCTATCCTGCCTGGCGAGTTCGCAGCGGCCCTCGTGCGACGTCACGCGAGCGTCGTGCGCCGAATGCAGTGCAGCACGACTGCGGTTTCGGCTGTGCCGCGTCGCCGGCTGCACGTCACGATCCCTGCACGAGCAATTGTAGGTTGGATCGCCTGGCGGGAAGCCGCACAACACCGTGCGCCCTGCACAGCGGAACGTGCCTCGGCACTTTGCGGTCCACATGCTGCCGCTCGCAGCGTCACAGCCGAAGCTGCGCCCGTGCACGCACGGCGCGAAGCTCGCCTGCCTGAGCAGTCCGCAGCGGCCCTCGTGCGACGTCATTTCATAGGTCCCGGACATGGTGACGGGCATCACCGCGCCAACACGCGTTTTCTGTGGATTTGGAGCAGATAGCTGTAGGGAACAGCAAGTCTGGGTTTTTTAGGTTTGTTGTTGGCAAGACACAGAGCTCACACAGAATCACAGCGGGAGGAAAGCGGCGAGTCGCAATTCCTGGGGTCCTTGTGGCGGGCCACCCTGTCCAGAGAGGCATGGATGCCAATCTGGGGTCTCTCGACCGAGTCTGATTTCGCCTCGCCGCCTCCCGATGGTGGTAAGGCTGGAGAGCCAAAGCGGCGGAGATGGCGGGGGAGGGCGGGGGATCGAGGAAAGCACGACTCGCACCGACCCTTCACGAACCGAAAGGCTGCACCCGGGGTAGGAGCTCCAGAGGTCATTGGCGCGGGCTGCGGCCGCACAGGCACGACCTCGCTCAGCATGGCCCTCGAGCGGCTTGGGTTTGGACCGTGCCACAGCATGGCTGCGGTGGCGAAGATGGTACGCGAGCGGCCGTGGGCTCGCGCGCTGGAGGAGCCGGAGCGGGCTAATACAGATTTTCATCGTTAAGTAGCTAGTCGTGCCACGGCACATTGCTGCACGAGGGGTGAGGGGACACGGATTGAAGATCCCTCACACCAAGATCGTGCAGGGCGGGGACACACGTCCCTAAATCCCATCTCGTCTCAGAGTTTGACCGTTTTCTTTAGACATTGCTGCCAAAACGCAATCAATTCTAGCTGCTTTTCCCATGGGCCCAGATTGGCCGCTTGCTGGATGAGCTCTGTGTACACCTCTCTTTCTGCTGCGAGACCGGCGCACAGGTTTACGAGACCACGCTCGCTCACGGTCCTGTTGTACTCATGACTAAAAGACTGTTGGCCGTCTCTCTCGTGCGTACTGGGCACCGGAGCGCGCCCACCTCCGAGCATGGCGTTTATCTGCTGCCAATCTTGCCAGATTGCCTCGGTCCGTAACACGTAGATCTTCTTGGCCGTGCAGTTGCCGATTCCTACTGTCGGGAAAGCAAGGATTGGCCGCGCATAAAAGCCGAAGTTGAAATAAAAGTGCGTATGCCCCAGTTGGATCTCCCCGCGAAGCGTTCGCCAGCCGAGCTCCGCACAATTCGGATTAGGGTGCGTACTCATGGCTGGGTTGGATGTCGAGCCCTCGATAAGGCCGCCCACACCCGCGAGGATGGCTGTGTGTTTGCCTCCCCGACTCGGACGGCCGCCTCAGAGGGCGGGAGTGCTTCCTATCGCCCTCTCACCCGCGGGTGATGGCCGAGTCCACGGAGCCGCACGCTGCCTCTCCTTCGACGCAAGGCTCCGACTTCTATAGAGAAAACCCCATCTGCACCAGCGTTTTAAAGTGAAATCGTCAAGAGAAATCGATGCCCCGGGCTGGGCTTTGGGGTAGGCAGCCACCTTTTTGAAGGTGAGGCGTATCTGCCGACCTGTGAAGACGCTTTACTTGCGAGCAGTGCGTCGACCAGATGGCGCGAGGGCACCGCAACATGGCTAAGGAGGCAGGGAAGCTTCTGCTCCGAGACGGCCGCTCAGGACCGCAAAATGGTGTTCCTGAAGGTTGTGTTAGTCGGGCTGGCCAGTCCCCGGGGCCTGACGGTCCAATGTTTCCCTCAAGAGGACTTCTCCCCTACCCCACCCTTCCACTTTAGATGTGTCGGACCATAGGAGCCGGAACCCAGCTGGGTTTGCCGCGGCATCTCGCCACTCGCCGACCGAGCCGGGTTTGCCAGTGCATTTCGCACCCGATGGCTGCACCGCGCTTCCTCCTCGCCGCCGCCGGCCCGCTGTTCGCCGCCGCCTGGACGGCGCCGTCCCTCCGCCACGCTGCTGGACTGGGCCCGCGCGCGGGACTGCCAATCGCGGCGGCGCCGACGCCGTTCACCTCAGACAGTTCGCCGAACGTGCTCTCAGTCCCACCAAACGCGGCCGACGCCTCCGGCGCCGGCCCTCCGGTACTTGATGCGCTGTGCGCGGCGGCGACGCGCGCGGTGGTCGAGTCCACGGGTGAGGGCGGTGAGTCGAGCGGCTCGGGCCGGCCAGAGTGGGCGCGTTGGCCTCACACTCGCCGTGCCCCACTGCAAGCCCGTAGAAGAAACACTCGTCGCACACCGGTCCGCAGGGCACATGGTGCGACAAGGAGCTGCTCGCGGCGGTGCGCCAGGCGGCGGACCGGGTGGGCGCGGCCACATCGGAGGGCGGAGCGTGGGCGCGGCTGTGGGAGGAGGCGGGCGGCGAGTGCGCGGCCGCGACGCTGCGCGTGGCTGGCGGCGACGACTGGGACCTGCTGCTCCACCTGTTCAGTGGTGGCAGCGCCGAGGGCAGTGCGGTGCGGGTGCGGCACGCGGACGGCAGCGGACGACGCACGAGCTCGGTGCAGGCTTGGCGTGTGCTCCGCTGAATCGAGCGTTGTCTGTCTGCAGGCGTGCTCTCTCTCCTCCGCCCGCTCGTCGGCTCCGCGACGGTGTCCAAGCTGCGGCCGTCTGGAGAGTTGGTCGGCTCGCCGCGCAAGCTCGGTGCGGCCACGAGCGGCGCGCTGCTGCAGATCGGAGGGCCGGTCCAGGAGTACGCGGCGGCGGGAGGCTCGTCGGCCCTGCTCGAGGCCCTCCTCCTCCGCTGCGATGGACACGTCCAGCACATGCGCCGGTGACACGTCAGAGACACGTCCAAGACTTGTCTGTCCGCAGGTGATCCTCCGACACCCCCTCCACTCGGAAAGCGACGAGGCGCTGCCATCCGACCCGCCGCCCCTCTCGCCCGCCTCGCGCTCCATCTTTGTCGACCGCGAGGCGCCGCCGCCGCCGCCGCCGCCGCCGCCCGTGTCAGCGGCGAGTGGCGCAGGCTCGCTCGGCGACGCGCTCTCCGGCTCGGTCGGCGGCCTCGAGGCGCAGCTCGACGCGATCGTGCGGCGGGTGCTCGCTTCCCGCGCTGACCCAGCTGCCGCGCGCCGGCTGGGCATCTCGCACGTGCGCGGCATCCTCCTCTCGGGTCCTCCCGGCTGCGGCAAGACACTGCTTGCGCGCGAGCTGGCGCGGTCGCTGGGCGCGCGCGAGCCGCAGGTGGTCAACGGCCCCGAGATCCTCGACAAGTTTGTGGGCGAGGCGGAGGCCAAGGTCCGCGAGCTCTTCGCGCCGGCCGAGGCGGAGTGGGACGCGGCCGGCGACGCTTCGGCGTTGCACGTCATCATCCTCGATGAGATGGACGCGATCGCCAAGAAGCGAGGCTCCGCGAGTGGAGATGCGTCCGGGGTGCGCGACTCTGTGGTGAACCAGCTCCTCTCCAAGATGGACGGCGTCGTCGAGGCGGGAAACGTCCTCGTCGTCGGCCTCACAAACAGGCCCGAGCTGCTCGACGAGGCCCTCCTCCGGCCCGGCCGGCTCGAGGTGCAGCTGAAGGTGGAGCTGCCCGACGCCGAAGGGAGGAGGGACATCCTCCGCATCCACACGCGCGCGATGCGCCAGAACGGCGCTCTCTCCGCCGCCGCCGCCGCCGCCATCGACGCGCCGCCCGACGGCGACGCGGCCGCCTCTCTCTCCGCAAAGACGGAGCACTTTTCGGGCGCCGAGCTGGCGGGGCTCGTCCGCTCCGCCGCCTCATTCGCCCTCGACCGCGCCGCAGCGGACGCGGCCAGCGACGCCGCCGCGCCGCCCGCGACGGTGGACTTGCGCGACCTGGAGCGTGCGCTGCGCGAGGTGCGGCCCGCCCTCGGGATGGTTTCGACTCGTATCGCTGACTCATGCATCGCCCGAGGTGACGCCTAGGTCCGGCCCGCCCTCGGGAAGCGGTCCGAGGCGCTGGCGATGCGGTACGCGAGGCACGGCGTCGGCTGCCGCGCGCACGCGCCCGCGAGGAGGGCGTTGCGCCGCCTCTGCGTCCCGACGGCCGGCGCCGCCGTCCGATCCGCACTGCTGGTGGGCGAGGCCCGTGGCGCAGGCACGTCGGCGCTCGCGGCGTGGGCCGCTGCCGAGGCGGTCGCTGCGGGGGAGGCCGAGGCCGCATCGTTCGTCTCGTTTGCCGAGTTGGTCGAGCGGTGTGGCGGCGACGAGGGGGGTGGCGGCGCGCTGAGCGCGGCGCTGGGCGACGCTTTTCGGGAGGCGCGCGCGCAGCGGAGAGCTGTCCTTCCCGCGGAACCTTCCCTGAGAACCTTCCCTCCGAACCTTCTCTGAACCTTCCTGTAGGCGCGCGCGCAGCGGAGAGCTGTCCTCGTCGTGGACGACGCCGACGCGCTCCTCGCCGCCTCGCCGCTCGCCGCCGCCACGCTGCGCTCGCTGCTGCGCGAGCCGCTCAAGGCGGCCAGCCACGCGAGTTGGTCTGTGCTGGTCTGTGCGCCGTTTTCGTGTGATGCGCCTCGCACACACTCCGTTCTAGGCGGTCGGCCACGCGATTGCGCGCGCGCCCTACGCGCCCGCAGTGGGAGGCGCGGTTGCCGCTCCCGACGGCGACGGCGATGAGCCGGGCGCGCCGACGCTGGTCGTGCTGGCCACATGCGTCGGCGGCGGCGCTGCGGCGTTGGCAGGCATCTTCGACGCGTCGATCGCGGTGCCGCTGTTGCGCGGCGAGGAATCGGCCGACGCGCTGCGCGCCTCGCCTTCGAACCCGCTCTGCGGCGACGCGATCGAGCTGGCCGCCGCCGCAGCGGCGGCGGCGGAGGAGGCGGCGCGGCGCGACGGCGTCCCGGTGCGCCGCTTGTTCCGGGCGGCCGACCGCGCGCGGGCGCTCGCGGCGGCGGACGCCGCGAGCGGCGACGCTGTGGCGGACGCCGAGGCGTGCGCCGCGGCCGGCCTGAGCATCGAGGCGGCACTGCAGCTTGCAGCGTTCGAGGAGGAGTGGGCTGCACTGCTGTGAGGTGAAGAGTACTAGCCCGCCTCAACCCACTTTACCCATGTGCATACTATTATACTCATACATGGAAATCTCTGCGCAACATCGGAAGATCCTTGGACTGTAGATCGTAGATGCCTTTTAGAGATCTCTTAAGTGGCAAATCTCCTGCCAAGAGCTGCAGTAGATTGAAGAACTGGTGGAGGCAAATCTTCTCCGGTGTAGATGCTCGAGAGGAGTCTGAGATCTCGCGTTTGGTGCGTGCAGTCGCTTGAGATCTTGCGACAGAGGTGGAGATTCTGACTTCGCGCCAAAGGCGCCTAGAGATCGTGTGGGCCGACTGGAGATTGCAAAATGGCGCGAAAAGAGGGTGGAGATCCTTTTGCATTGTGAATGAGTCCATAGCGCATCTCCTTGAAGGTTTGAGCCCCCCTCCTCCCCCGGGCCCCCGAATCGACAGTGGAGATTGGAGATTGGAGATGGAGATCGGAGATCTGACTGAATCCGGCCTAAGATGACGACGTTGGAGATTGGAGATTGAAGATGGAGATCGGAGATCTTTTGGATCCGGCCTAAGATATAGCGACGCTGGAGATTGGAGAGTACTGGAGAGATGGAGATCGGAGCCCCCCAGCCCCTAGTGGTGTCTCATCGATTTTTTTGTTTTGTTTTTAGATAAAGGTCTGTGCGCGGACGGCCCGGGGAGCCTGCGGCGCCATTTTAATCTGCGCTCCTCTTTATGGCCTGCGGCGCCTGGCTTGAGCTTGGAAGTGTAAACGAGTCCGCCAGGGCGGTCTGCAAACACGAAGCGCGCTGCGCGGCGCGCGCGGTCTACGCCGAACTGGGGGCGGTATCATGGTTCACGCTGCCAACTCGGCAAATAGGCTCGCCGACATAGACCGCGTACATAGACCGCGCGCGCAGCGCGCTCCGTTTGCAGACCGCCCTGGCGGACTCGTTTACACTTCCAAGCTCAAGCCAGGCGCCGCAGGCCATAAAGAGGAGCGCAGATTAAAATGGCGCCGCAGGCTCCCCGGGCCGTCCGCGCACAGACCACAGGAAAAAACAAAAATCTATAAAACATCTATCAACACCACTAGGGGGTGGGTGGGCTCCGATCTCCCCATCTCCAATATTCTCTAATCCACAGCGTCGTCATCTTAGGCCGGGGATCCAGTCAGATCTCCGATCTCCATCTTCAATCTCCAATCTCCAACGTCGTCATCTTAGGCCGGATCAGATCTCCGATCTCCATCTCCAATCTCCAATCTCCAATCTCGATTCGGGGGCCCGGGGGAGGAGGGGGGCTCAAACCTTCAAGGAGATGCAATTTGGATTCATTCACACTGACCATCTCTCATCTCCAATCTCCAATCTTCTACTTGGCCACTGTCGCCGCCGGCAGCAATCTACGACCTCCATTTTCAATCTTCGATCTCACATCTGGGGCGGATGGCTGGGCGCTAGGATCTACAATCTGCATTCTCCATCTCCTATCTCCACATTTTGGCCCTGTTGCTGCTCAGAGCGATCTGCAATCCACAATCTCAATCTTCGATCTTTAGTCTTGAATGGGGAACCGGACAGGACGGATCTACTGGCGAGACTTGGGCGTGTCCGTGTGAGAGATCCGCTAGGATCTCCAGTCTTAATCTACTATCTCTACCCCAACGATCTACTGGTCTTGCGCAGAGATTTCCATTACTCATTATACCACTAGTACCGTAATAGTGCACACACATATACAACGATGGGGCTTTTATCGAAAGGAAAGGCCGCGGGCCCAATGGGATTGGCCCTCGTGCCCCTGGCGGGCGCGGGGGCGGGGGGGTGAGAGCGTTGTCCGTTGACTGGGACACGACCCTATGCGCTATGGCAACGAGAAGCCGGCGCATCACTCGGCCGCAGCGCTCTGTTTTATGTGTACACGTACAACCTTTAGCTTCCTGGGAGAAACAGCCCATAACTCGTGTATTTGTATCACTCGCGCAGAAAGGCCGGCGGACGAATGTATCGGTACGTATGCTGTCGGGGCTGGCAGAGGGAGCGCCTCTGAGGTCGGCTATGATAATTGTGCGATGGCCGATGGCCCACACGCTAGAACCGGGCTAACCAGGAGGCCAACACTCGACCCTCTCACACATCTCAAGGAGGTCGAGCTACTCGCCGTCTCCGCAGCAGTGGCGAGTCCGCATGGGCTGGCCTCGCGCTCCTTGTCTCCTGGCTTCAAACCCGCCAGCCTCGATGTTGGCCGCGCCGTCGAGCTCAGCCGGCGGCCTGGAGCTGCTCGCCGCGGCACTGCGGAGAGCTGCCCCGACGGCGTGTCCACGTCGAGCACGAGCGGCTCGCGGCACATCGGGCAGGATGGAGTGCGGGCGATCCAGTCGGCGATACAGTCGCGGCAGAAGACGTGCGCGCAGGAGGTCGACACCGGGCTGCAGGAGGCGTTCAACAGCTCGAGGACGGCGCATTCATCGCCGAGCTTGGTCGTCGTTGGACGCGCCGAGCTCGTTGGCGTTGGACGCGCCAGACGGGTCCTCGTCCGCTTCGTCGTAAGGTAAGGTAAGGTAAGGTAAACTTCTCCACACACACGAGGTGGTGGGGCAAGGGGGGGCAACCCTCGCTTCGTCGCAAATTCTAACATCGCGTGACACAATCACGCCTCACATCCTGTTATTCTACTAATCGAAAGAAAGAAAATAGAAAACGGAGAGGATCTCGTGAATCGTAGCCTGTCTCTAGTCTCAAAGAAAGAAAGAGAGCGGACAACCCAAGGGAGGGATGGGAGTTGGGAGGACGGCACGCCGCCACCCCACACGGGCGGGGATTTGAAGGAGAGGAGTGTGTGGTGTTAGCCATCGCCTAAAGCGTAAAGGCCCTACGCGCGGCGTGATCTCTAACTCTATGTGTATGTAGTTCCTTTCCTGCCACCGGTCATGTGCCCATGTGGCATGTGCAGGAGTACGGTAGGGCGAGTGCGTTCCGTGCGGTGCTCAGACGAGGTCCACGGGCGGCTTTTCCCGTGGGGCCTTCTTCCGCCGCCACACATGGTTGCCACTGCGGTCTGCGCCAGCAGTCTTCTTCGGCGCGTGGGCTAGGCCGCCTCCCGCGCCTTCGCCCTCGCAGCGGCCGCCGAGACGCGCCTCGCCTTGGCTGCGGCGAGCGCCGCCTCGGCCGCCGCCTCCTCCGCCGCCGCGGCCTCCTCCTCCTCTTCTGCCGCTGCCACAGCCGCAGCCTTCGCCTCAGCCTGCCGGCGCGCCTCCGCTGCCGCCTCCTCGCCCTCCTCCTCGGCCGCCTCCGCCGTCTCCTCGCCGCCCTCCTCCTCGCTCTCCTCCTCGTCCTCCTCCTCGGCCGCCTCCTCGGCCGCCTCCGCCGTCTCCTCGTCGCCCTCCTCCTCGCTCGCCTCGCCCGCCGCCTCTCCCAGCGCCTCCGCCAACCCCTCGACCGACGTCTCCGGCGTGATGCCGAACCGGATCCTGTCCTCGTGGAGCTCCGCGAGAAGCTTGAGCAGCCCCTCCCTGTCCAACGGCGCGGGCTTGGCTGCGGCTGCCTCTGCCGGCGCCTCGGACTCCTGCGACGGCCCAGCCCCGCCGCTCCCGCCGCCCTTCTTCTTCTTCTTGCCCTTCTTGCCCTTGGCGCGCTTCTCCGCCTCGACCTCCGCCAGCAGCTCCTCGGCGTGCCGCGCCGCCTCCTTCTCCTCCGCCGCCCTCTGCGCCGCCCTCTCCGCCGCGCCCGCAGCCCATGCCGCCTCCTTCGCCGCCGCCTCGGCCGCCGCCTCGGCCGCCGCATGCTCCTCGAGGACGCGCACGCACTCGGCGTGGCCCTTCCACTTGGCCCATTGCAGCGCAGTCATGCCGTTCTTTGAGCGCAGCGTCGTGTCTGCGCCCGCCCGCAGCAAGCGGAGCACCACGGCGGGGTGGCCGTAGTAGGCGGCATACATCAGAGCGGTGCGGTGATCGTCGTTGTCCTGCAAGTCGATCTCCGAGCCGTGCCGGATCAGCGTCTCAACCACCCGCTCGTGACCTTTGAAGGCGGCCTCCATCAGCGCAGTGACGCCGTTGTTGTGCTTCTGGTCGACCTCCGCGCCGTGCCGCACTGCCAGCTCGACCAGCTTCTCGTGGTCGTTGGTGGCGGCGAACATCAGCGCGGAGCAACCGTTGCTGTTCTCCAACAAGACATCCGCACCGCGCCGCAGAAGCGCCTCGGCCAGCCCCGCGTGGCCATCGGCCATTGCGAGCACCAGAAGCGTCATGCCGCTCACACGGGAGCCGTCACGAAAGGTGCAAAAGAAAGGGGCGTCAACCTGCCCGCCACCGTCGAGCCACGCCAGCACCGGCGCCTCTTCGCCTCGCTCAGCCGCTTCCACGACCTCCTCTGGCACCGCCTCGCTGCCCGGCGCGGCCTCCGCACCGCCCTCGCCGATCGAAGCAGAGGCCGCGGCACTGGCGCCCGCCGCCGCCTCGCCTGTGGGTGCGCCGCTCGCCCCTGCGCCGCCCGCCTCGGCCGATGGCGCCTTGCTGCGCGCCGCCGCCACCTCGCCGAGATACGTCCTGAAGGCCTCGACGCACTCGGTGTGGCCCTCCTCCTTGGCAATCTGCAGCGCTGTCGCACCGACCACGTTGCGCAGCTTCATGTCTGCGCCCGCCCGCAACAAGCGAAGCACCACCGCGGGATGGCCGTAGAGGGCGGCGAGCATCAGTGCGGTGCCGCCGAGATTGCACTGCAGGTCGATCTCCGCGCCGTGCCGCAGCAGCATCTCGGCCACCTGCTCGTGGCCGTTGGCGGCGGCGACCGTCAGCGCCGTACAGCCTTCGCCATCGCGCGCGTCCGCCTCCGCGCCGCGATTCAGCAGCAGTTCGACCAGCTGCTTGTGACCGCGACCGGCGGCGATCATCAGGAGCGTCCAGGCATGCACCCCGCCACGCACGCACGTCGCGTCAGCCCGCCCATCCCCGGCGAGCCACGTCTGCACCACGCCCACCTTGCCGTTCTCCGCCGCCGCCTCGATCCTTTTCGGCAGCGAGAGCGGCGCAGCAGTAGCCGCCGTTGAAGCGTGCCCGCGCCGGGGCGCGGCCGAGCCAGCCTTCGTCCGGCCGGGCATTCAGAGGGGCGGGTTGCGGATAGCGCGTCCTCCCGCGCTGCTTCGAAAAAAGAAAATTAAGCAAAGTGGCGTTGACACACTCTCTCTTAAAATCCCTGTGTGGTGGCGGCGTGCCGTCCTCCCATCCCTCCCTTGGGTTGTCTGTTTTCTTTCTTTCTTTACACTCTCTCTCCCGCGCCAGGCTTCGAAAAAAGACTTTTGTGGCTCGCGTAGTGCGAAAAAAAGTAGCTCGAATTGGACACCAGCGCGGCGCAGTAGTCGGCAAGTGTGATCTGTGATCTGAAGGTCGGCGTCCCGCGGACATTGTACACGAGGCTGTGCCCGGTGCCGAACCTGTCGGACCTTAAGACAGACAGCGTTGTAGTATAAGTTGTAGATCCGCGCCTCCGCAAAGCGCCGCGCCGAGGCCTCGCTCGTCGCGGGCCGCGACGATTGCGATGCTTTGGTTGGGGGTTCACCGCCTGAGCGGTTCTTGGCGAGCGCGAGCGCAGGATCCGTCTTGAATCCGTTGGCCCAGGCGCGGAGGTGATCAAAGGCGGTTTCGCCGATCACAAAGGGGACTACTTAGCACGAGTGACATCAGCGCGGCCCCCAGCAGAGAGACGAGCCCGAGGAGGAAGAGGGCTGCCGATGGGGTAGGGCAGGGAAGGGCTCAGGCTCGGTGCGCATGTGAGTGCAGGAGGGCGGCCGGCCGAAGGAGACGTGGCGAGGGGGGAAAGACGGGGTGGGGAGGGTGTAGGCGAGTGAGAGCACGGTAGGATTGGAGTTCAAAGGCGCGCCGGGCGGAGCGATGCAAAAGAAGGCGATGCTCGTCTGGGTCTTGAAGAGCACAAGGCGGCCGCTTGTGCTCTGGGCGCGCAGGACCGTGTACGAAAAGTCGCTCAGCTTCCCCGGGTGGCCGCTCTTCAGCAGATTGGTCTGCTGCTGAGGCTCGTGGAGCCGGATCGTCGAAGAGCCGTCTTCTGCGCCCCCAAGTAGTACGAGGTCTGGAGGCGGAGCCAGTTGACATGGTGCTCATTGTTGCCGCCATAATACTCTGCAAACATCGCAAAGGGCGCATTCTCCGCCCACACCTTCGGTCCCCGCCCCGATGGAGCAGGAACTCGGCGATGGCGGCGGAGAAGACCGCGCCGCCGTGCAGGTCCATCCCGAAGTCGCCCTTCGTCGCGCAGCACCTTGGCAGGACCGGCATCATATTGAGCATTATCGCGTCAAGCGGAAGGGGAAGGTGAACCACCGCAGGTAGTCGGTCTTCTCATCGATCAGGCTGCCAGGCCGGCGCGTCCACGGAAACACCATCTACGGCGGCGGTGGCCAGGTGGGCCGGCGGCGATGGTAGCGGCGGGGCTGCCAGGGCGTCGGTGGCACTAACCTGCGCGACGGGGTCTTCATGATGAAGCTGAAGCTCAGCGGGATATTCAGGTCAAACCAGCGCTCGAAAGCTATGTTCGCGATCTTGGTCGGTGCGAAAGCGTACACGCTCACGGTCTCGCGGTCGTCTTGGAGCAGGGCGTCCTTAACCAGCCAGCGCTTTTGCCACTCCCAAGCGCCTGCCCGCGCAAGCAACGGGTGTGAGAGCAAGAAGAGGGCGCTGTGGGCGCAAAAGCGGACGAACAGAAAATCATCCAGCTCCGTGACAACACCGGCTTGCGTTGCCCTTGCTCTTTTTTTGATTTTGCAGGACAGCTCCCGTGTGCAAGGACTTTTGCCTCTCCGCCGCCGCCTCCGGCTCCGCCGCGCGGCCGGCCGCCGCCGCCCTCGCTCTTCCTTCCGCCGCCCTCCATGAGACGTGTCAAAAGAAAAACACTTGCGTTGACATGCACGGTGCTCGGTGGTACATATCTTTTCAAGTCAACTCCCCATCCCCGTGGCTCCCCACACTCCACAGCTCTCGACACTCGCTCGCGTCTAGCTTGCGGGCAAGGCGGCGTGCGGGCAACCACCCCTCGCATGGACGATCGGCCGTCGATCCCGAGGTACGAGGGTCGTCGGTTGAGCATGCTAGGGAGCCTGGCGATGGACGCCACCGCGACCCCTCGCCGTCTAGTGTCCTTCGCGACCAGCTAGGCCGTTCCTGCCCCCCTAGTTTGCCGGCAGGGTGCCGGGCGGCGCCTTCTCGGTGTAACGGCCGTCGATGCTTCCCGCCGACGGCGAGGCCGCGAGCGTCTTGCGCCGCGTGACGACCTCGGGCTCCTCGAGGCTCATCATCACCAGCCAGACCTGTTGATGGATCATGAGCGTCCGCTGTTAATATTCACTGCTCGTTCGCTCGGCGGCGCGGAGTCAGAAAGAGGTGTCTGGCGCACCATCGTGGCGCCGAGCGAGCCGGCGCATGGTCCGACCCACCAGACCCAGTGGTCGTCCCACGTGTTAGAGACGACGGCAGGCCTGTCCACGGCGCGCCGTGTGAAGAGGGACGCGCTGTTCATGTGTACACCGGTTAGGGGGGGGGGGGGGGGTGACACGGCCCGCGCCCGAAGGAGCGCGTCGGATTGATCGAGCAGCCCGTCACCGGGATGCAGACCTATAGTCGGCGGGGGCGGGCGTGGTTGGGGTCCGATCTCTTGGCCTACCATTCCTGCTTCCTTGCTGCTACTGGCGCGCGCACCACGTGTGCAATGAAGACGGCGAGGCCTATTGAGAGAGCCGCGGGAGCGAGACACGTGAAAAGTGGACTGGAGCAGCCTTGTGTGAGAGAGGCCGGCCGCTGCTCGGTGTGCCAATGGGCAGCGGCGCGATGGAGAGCTTGTTCCCGAGGATGGAGGACTCGCCTAGTCGTGCAGCCTTCGTCTCCTGACTCCTCTGTGGATGCCGTTGGGGCACAGGGCTGGGGGGAGATGGCTCGCCGTCGGTGCAGAGCGACTGCCCGTTGACCGCCGTCTCGAGGACGGTGTACATGAGGAGAAAGGTGCCTAGTGAAACAATGCCGGCATGGCTAATTCACCAACTGTCTCAGGACCGCGTGCATGAGGGACGAGAGTGCCCACAAACTCAAAGGCGACCGCGTTGTGGTGGTTGACCGACGCGTTCTGCAGCCCGTTCGAGCCGAGGCTGCCCGACCGGTCGAGGTCCTCTCCTCCCGCGTCGCCGTGCGTCGCGCCTTTGAGTATCGCTGCGCCGGCGATGGAGCCGAGCATTTGCGCGATGAAGTAGGCCGCGCCGCGGATGGGGTGGCACTTGCCGGAGACCGTCAGCCCGAGAGTGACCGCCGCGTTGACGTGACCGCCAGAGGTGTGGGCAGTCGCGTACACCAGCACGGTGATGGCGAGCCCGAACTGGAGCGCGATGACGGTGACCGATGCCGGGTCCCAGTCACCGTCGCTAAAATGCGCGTTCGAAGCAGCGGCCCCGCAGCCAAAGAAGACGAATAGCGTCATAGCGACAAACTCGGAGAGGGTGCCGCGGAGGAGATCACGCCGACCAGGCATCGGCTCTCGGGGCGTGGCATCGAAAGCGACGATCGGCATGAATTGCGGCGTGCTAAGAAGAGCGCGTTTCGTCGCGATTGCAGTGAGGCGCGTTCAAAAGATTTTTTTATTTTGCAAGCACGTTCGGCTTCCTCCGGACCTCTCGGTCCATGGAATTTCCGACGCCACAAACATACGCCATCGTCGGTCGGCGCCATCCGCGTTGTCGTATTCGTCGTCGTCGAACAACTCTCTCTCTCTCTTGCTGGATGCTGCTGGGCCGGCTCCCGCGTGCCCGGCGAGGTAACCGACAAAGCGTGGGTCGGTCTGAAGGAGTACCGCTCTGTCCGCAAAAGAATCTTGGCGCGTGACAAATTCTTTTTGTTCGGCCGCGTCGCGGATACCCACAGTGCGCCCCAGCCCCCTCCCCCCCGGGCACACTGCCACACACCGCACCACAGAGACCACTCCGAAGCTCCCAATTTTTTTTCAAGCGGATCCCTGGAAGTACTCTCTCAGCCTGCTCCATTAATGTGGCCGAGCGCGCTTTGTCCGCGGCCGGACCGAGCCCCGCCTGCTCTCCGCGGGCGGCCGCCTCACCAGGCAGTGGATCTGGCAGCCCGGGTGCTCCGCGTCGGCCGGGAGGCTCGCCGCCTCAAAGTGGTCTGCGGCCATCTCGTAGAAGCGACCGCCCATGCTGTGGACGCCGGGCGCGGCGCCGTTGCCGTGCGCCATGAGCACGAGGGTCCCCTCGCAGGAGAGGGCGACGAGGGTCTCCACCTACGGGGACGTGTCGCGGACGTGTCGAGGACGTGCCGTCGGACGCGTGTCGCCGCGACGCGCGCGTCCGCACCAGTGCGCTCCACACGCGCTCCTCCCTGCCGTACACAACGTCCACAGCGAGGAGCACGTCCGGCGGCCGGCCCAGCCCCAGCTTCTCGAGCGGGGAGGCGTCCTCACCCCACTTGAGCCGCCTCACCCGCACCGGCACCGGCTCCGCCGCCGCGCCCGCGCCGCCCGCGCCCGCGCCCGCGCCGCCCGCGCCCGCGCCCGCGGCGGTCGCCGCGTTGTCCTTTGCCGCGTTTGCCTCGAGGAGGGAGAGCACGTCCTCGTCCGCGTCAGTCGCCACCGTGCGCATCCCCAGCCGACCCGCGACGATCGCCGGCAGCCCGAGCCCTGCGCCAAGCTCGACGGCGGAACGACCCGCCCATCCGACCGGCACCGGCCCAACGCCTACAGGAGGCCGCCCTGAAGGCTCCTGGACGGCTCCCGCCCACCCGCCCACGCGGCCAGCCTCGCCGCCGGCGCCGCCCCATCTGCCAAGCAGCCGAGCGCCGAGCGGCGGCAGTGCGGCCGCCGCCGCGGCCGGCGTCGGGTGGGCCGCGAGCCACTTTGCGAGCAGCAGAGACCCCTCCCACAGCGCGCCGCCCGTCGCCGCGGTGGCGCCCGTCTCCTCGCGCCCCCCTATGAGCAGGCCCCGACACGCTTCCGAGAAGGCTCCTCGCCGCGCCGCCCGCCTCCTCGCCTCCGCGCCCTTGGCGCGGCCGCCGCCCAGCATGTGGGTGAGGAGAATGGGGGGGCCGGCCAGCGGCAGCTCGAGCCGCTGCTCGCGCGGCCTGGAGGCGGCCTCCTCGAGGGCGGCGCAGTGGACGCCGGACTTGCGCATCGCGTACAGCAGCTTGGAGGTCTCCTGGGCGTTTAGGGTTAGGGTTAGGGTTAGGGTTGGGATAGACAGCAGCTTGGAGGTCTCCTGGGCGTTGAAGCTGTCGAGCGTCGCCGCCGCGCGGGCCGCGATGGCGAGCATGGTCGGCCGGTCGAAGAGGCCGAGGGTGAGGAGGGACCTGTTCACGAGTGGAGGAGGAGTCCTCCACCAGAATGGGTGGCTTGGCCGAAGAGAGGAGCGGGAGCGAGGACCAGGCGGCGTTGGAGAGGTCGCGCGCGTTGAAGGCCGCGGCGTCGCTCGCGATAGCGCCTCCCGCCATCCCGCAGAGCGACACCACGGACGGCTCTGTCGCGACGGACCCGCGGGCCAGCCTGCGGCGGCTCGACAGCGTGGGTCAGGGCAGAGGTGAGGGTCAGGGTGGTGGAGTCGGAGCGCCAAGCCTGCAGCCGCTTGACAGCTTGGCGACGCCCCAGAGCACGTTGGCGAGGTGGCGCGGCGTGCAACGCTTCGTTCCGAGCGCCACCGCCGCCGCGGCGATCGCCGACGCCAGCTTGGCTCCCCAGCGCGGCAAGCCGAGCCGCGCGTACGCGCTGGCGAGGCTGTCGAGGTCCTGGGCGTTGAAGGCGGCCATGCGGCGGCGCGCGGCACGCGCGAGTCGCTTGAGCGCGCGCAAGCCGACGCTGCGGCGGCCGTCCTCCGGACTCGCAGCGCCGAGCTTGACGAGGGAGAGGGCGACCGTCGCGATCGCCTGCGGCTCGAGCCAGGAGATGCGCCGAGATGCGCCGGGACGCGCCGAGATGCGCCGAGATGCGCCGAGACTCGCCTGCGGCTCAAGCTCCGACGCGCGGGCGCACGCGGCCTCGGCGAGCGCAGCTGTCGCGCCGCCGTGCTCGAGCCTGCGGTGTGAGTGTACAGATCTGGACTCCGCCTCGTGATGGGGAGAGATGGGGAGAGATGGGGAGAGATGGGGAGAGATGGGGAGAGATGGGGAGAGATGGGGAGAGATGGGGAGAGATGGGGAGAGATGGAGAGACATGGGGAGAGATGGGAAGATATGGTGCTCGAGCCGTTGTGAGTGCAGCGGTGCAGCTGAACACGGTGCGGCTGAAAGCAGTGCAGCTGCAGGCAGAGTAGCTGCTTACCGCCGCACGCGTGCCTCCTCGAGTGCTAGTCGGGATACAGAGCTGGACTCCGCATCTGGGCCTCGTGATATGGGGAGATATGGGGAGATATGGAGATGTGCTCCGCATCTCGGCGCTCGGGCCGTGCAAAGGCCCACGCGAGCATGCCGATCTCCTGCGCGTTGAAGCTGCCCCCCAGAAGCGGCGCGCTCGCGGCCGCGATGCGGTCGAAGAGCGCCGGCTGCGGCTGCGACGCCGTCGCAAACGCCCACGCCAGGTTGGCGAGGTGCCGAGGCTCACACCGCGGCTTAGCGCACGCGTCAGCGGCTGCTCTCGCGATCGCATCGAAGAGTCCGCGCGCCGCCGGCGCGTCCGCGCCCATGGCCTGTGCGGCGCCGTGCGCGATGTTGGCGAGGATGTCTGGACGACGGCAGCCGTGCGCCTCCAGCTGGGACTGGGTGGCCGCCGCCAGCCCTGCCAGGCTGTCGCCCATCTCGCCGGAGGCGGTCTGCCATTTGAGGTGGCGCCCGAGCTTGTTCCATAGATTCCCGAGGTGCATCGCGTCCATCCGCTCGCCGTGCTGTGCGTGCAGCTGCAGCAGGGCGCGCGCCGACTGCGCCTTTGAGATCCAAGCGTTGAGGAGCGGCGGCTCGGGCCAAGACGCTCCGCCGCTCTGTCTCCGCACAGGAGCGGGCATGCGATTGGCCCAGCGATTTAAGAGCGCAGAGGACCGCGCGAGCAGCGCGAAGAGCAGCGCAGAGCGGCGCGAAGATCACGAGAGCGCCTTGCGCGTCACGATGGTGGGTGGTTCCACAGCCTGACCGCGAGGCATGAAGACTGCAGCGAGAATCGGCGAGACTGCGAAGAGAGATAGGAAGAGGCAGACGCCCGAGGGTGGGCGACGGCTAGCAACACACTCCTCTCCTTAAAATCCCTGTGGCGGCGTGCCCGCTCCCGTGCTTTCTTTCTTTCTTTCTTTCCTTCACGCATCACGGACCGCGTGCCAAAGGCGTGCCGCCGCCGCGCGCGGCCAGAGGCGCCGCCGCGCCCACACCCCCGCCCGGGGGAGCGAGGGGGTGGCGGGTGCGGCCGCTGCGGCGTGCGGGATTGCGGGGCCGACCGTAACACGAAGTGTAACACGGACGCGGACCGATCGAGGCCGGGCCGCCCGGGCGGGGTGCGTGGCGTCTCGCGCGGGGGTGGTCCGCCGTCATTAGCTTCGCCGACGAGCCCAACGACGAAAACGTCCGCATCAGAATCGCATCTACGCACATCACACAGACACTCCACGCAATACACCACACGACACGGCAGGCCCTCCAAGACAGCACGGACAGCGTTCGCAGATAGGACCAGAGGCGGGCCCAGGAAGCTTACTGTACCTCCAACCGTCGTCGGAGCATCGCGCTCCCGCACCTCAGCGCACGTACTCCCACCCACTCCAAACCTCGGATCCGAGCCCAACTTGATGGGCTCGGAGGAGCTCTACTGCGGCACCCGCATCACCACACCGGGCAGCGGCCATTGGCAGCGGGCGTCAGGGAAGGGGAGGCCGTGGGCCGCTGCCGGCGGCGGCACGCCGGCGAGTTGGTAGGCAGTATACATGTCGATCGACGGCTTGTACATGCTCTCGAAGGCGCCGCCGAACCGCGCCGCCGGAACCGTCGTGGCCAGCAAGGCGGGCAGAGGTGGTGGCGCTGGCACCGGCGTAGACGGCACAAACGCAGCCGCGTTGTGGCAGACACGCTGAATGCACGCCTTCTTTCGCACTCCTGCGCCGCCGTATTTGGGCTTGTCGAGACACTCCTACAGCGCGAGCCGCACGCGTGAGCTCCGGGCTCGGGGCGGCACTGGCCCCGGGGGGGGAGGCTAGCTCCTTGCACATGCCGCAGTCGGGCGCACGGCACGCCTCGCAGGCGCCACAGCGGTTGCTGCGGCCGCTGTTCCGATTGACGAGGCTGCGCGCCGCCGCCGCCAGAGGCGCCTCGGCGCACGGCGCCGCCTCGGGCTCCGCCACCGGCTCCTCCTCAAGCTGCGCGACGCCCTCCAACCTCTCGGCGTCGGCAAGCCTCGCCGTCTCATCAGACTCCTCACTCTCCGATTCGATGGTGGCGTCGGGGCCTCCGTGGCGCAGCGCGTCCTGTCGCTGCCAGAAGAGCTCCCACTCGCGGTCATTCATCAGCCGGCCTGCCGCCATCTGACAGCGGAGGTCGGCAGGGGTCGGAGGCGCCAAATAGACGACGGCGACGAGGTCGAGACAGGACAGCGGCGATGCCGAATAGCAGGTTTTCGCGCGACGGGCGATGCATCGGAAAACCCGAAACGCCGATGGCGAGTTCGATTATTAGTTTTACATGCACGGGGTGGGTGCTGAATGCGGGTGGGTGGCCTGGAGGCGAGGTGGAGCCTGTGGAGGGTGGAGAGGGTGGTTTGGTGGGTGGTTGGTGACTCCACACCTGGAGACCTGTGTTCTCACTCAGCCTGTTGAGTGTTGTCGAGCGTCAGGTTCGTTGTTAGCAGATCAAGGCACAGAGGAGCTCACACAAAGCACAGCGGGAGGAAAGTGATATACTGATCTCTCAAGGCCCATCTACAGCAGCGGCGAAGTGAGCGTGTTTGTGGTGTTGGTGTGGCGTCTGAGCTTGGATCTGTGACTAAAGCCGGTTACCACTGATGGATCCCCACCCGAATAACACACAGTGAGCGCCCCAGCGCTTCACTACGCCCTCCGCGCGAAATCGCTAGTGGTGCTTTGTGGCAGCACATTGTGCTTTGTGGCAGCACGGGTGCGGTCGGTGCCCGTGACTCAGCAACTACCTTACTAGTCTCCCAACCTTTTTCACCGGGGTACCCACCGCAGGAGGGTTGGCATTTTCAACCCACGATCTCTAGGGGGTGATCTCTAGGGGGTGGGGGAGCGTGAAATTGAATTCTTTAGCTGTGTCGGAAGAATTCTTTTCCCCCCAGGCGCCGTTGCTCTGCGAGTTGGAGAGACACGGCCCAGGCGCGGCCGCCGAGCGCGGCCGTGTCTCCAATTCTCGCCGCGCGCGCGGCAGGACTCGTCGCTCCTCGCCTCGCACGCACACGCATACCCACGCTACGCACCAGACATCATGCCCGACAAAATCGGCAACAGCCGCGCAGGGATGGCTCGTCAGCCTCGTCAGGGCCTAGATGACTCGCCCGCCGAAGGAGGAGGTGGCACGGCGCCGCCAGCGTATGACTGGACGACGGGAGAGAAAGTTGCTCGCGGTGCTGCGGAGTTTGCGGCAGGAGTTGCAGGCGTTGGTGTTGCTGCGCCGCGGCCACCGACGGCAGCGGAAATGGCTCGCGACGCAGGGCTGTTTCCACCGCGAACGACGGCAATCGGCTCGACCCCCGAAGGGGAGCAGAACCCTCTCTGGTCAGCGGAGGAGTTCAATGGCAAGTGGTTCATCTGCTGGCCGATTGCCTGCGCTTCGGTCAACCAGACCAACGTTGGCGAGGATGGCATTAAGATGCAGGCCATGTGTTGTCTCTGTTACCCGGCCACGACCGAGTTTACCCGCATGGGCAACACCAACCGCTTTGGGGCTACAAGCTACACAACCGACGACGACGGAAGCTCCTCACGAAGCGAAGACGTGCTGAACTTCACCTCGACGACTTCGCTCAAACACGAGGGAGGGGGGATCCCGGGGGTCGGGTGGAAGAGTAAAGAGTTAGTAGTGCATGTGGACGGCAATTCGGGCGTTGGCTGACGCAGCACATGCGCGTGCTGTCTGAGGTGAGGTGGACCGGGTGAGTGTTTAGGTGTGTTGTGTCCAGTGTTCGTTCGTCCTTGTCCGCTGTCCCGTTGTTGTCAATGCCAGATACGTACTATTTTCTATTTGAGAGGCCTTCGTTGTTAATAGTACAAACCCAATGGTCCCTCGCTAGCGGTCCTTCGTTGCAGTCACGCACACGCCACGCCGCACCGCGCGCCCGCCCACTGCCCCGCCCAGGCGGGAAAGAGATCAGGAGATGGGGACAGCGAAGGAAGGAGGAGCCACGAACACGACACTGGGAGGGTTCAGTTGTGCGCCACGCTGCCCGGCGTCTCTCACTTTCCGGGACAGCCCCGCCCTTTCGAGGCAGGAAAGTGACGGCTACCCCGTACGCCCTGTTGCTTCTACCCCGACGCCGACCGCCCATCCCCCCTCCTCGTTCCCCCCTCGAATTCTCCGGACCCCGACAAGCCGCCCGCCGTTGGGCCTCTGCCCCGCACGCCCCCGCCCCTTCTGCCCCTCGCTCACACCCCGGCCCGACACGCACATACAAGACAAACCCGGCGTCCTGCTCTCAAAAGAAAAAAAATGGGGAGGAGGGGAGACCACACGCACCCCCGCGCGCCGCTATGTGTCGCCAGGAGGCTGACACTTCACAGGCAGAGATTTGCTCAATGCGGCGGCAACAGCCAACACGATCGCGCCGGACTGTACAGGCGACTGTCTCGGCGAGCGCGGCGGTACTGCGGCGCTCGCGCGCCTCGTGGCAATGTACGGTGTTCGGGTAGCTGATGGATGTATATCCTCACGCGGCGCCATGCGCAACGCAGCAGACCTTCTTGTGCGCCTTCCAATCGGCCTTTTGGCACTCTTTCGAGCAGTACGACACCGCGAGGCATCGCGCGCACTCGGACAGCTTGGCCGGGTTGCCGTACGGGCGGTTGTGCGGACACGAAGGGTTGTCACAGTACGTGGCTTGGCGCGACACGAGCTGGCCACCGTTCGCGCCAGTGCGCGTGCGGCTCGGACGCGCGCCCAAGGCTCGGAACATCGGCTCGCCCAGCTGCCGCGAAAAGGCGTCGTAGAACCCGGTGGGCTCCCAGAGACCTGTCAGATCATTGAACGAGGTTCTCGGCGAAGCTCGCGCGCCGAGCATGCGCGAGACTTGATCTACACAGAAAGGCGCGTCAGGCAACGGCTCGCCTTGCGTCGTGCGGAAGCTGTGCGACCAGGGCACAATCTCGCCCTCGAGCATGGCCACGATGCACGGCGTGCAAAAGAGGCGGCAATGGAAGCGCATAGCCATGGCGGATGGGCTGCCGCCGGTCGCGTCGCGCACGTCGGCGTCGCGAGGGGGTCGGTGCTGAATGAGGAGTTGGTACGCGAGTACTTTCGTCTCGTTAGATGGCCGCGCGAACTTCTGGCATACGGGGCACTGCAGTGACGAACGGAAGTCGGGCCACGACGCGTTGGCCTTGCCGCCGTGCTTGCGCGAGGTGTGATCCCCGGCGGAGTCCCCGTGCTTGAGAATGGCGACGTCCTCGGCGCTTACGAAGCAACCACCGCCCACGACGAAGGGAGTGAGCATGACCTCCAGGTGCCGCTGCTTTGGCATCAGCAGGCAAATCATGCCACCTCCAAAGCGCACTGGAATACGAGTATCGCCTGTGACTGCCAACACGTCGCACGGCTCGATGTACATCGTCTCAGGCTTGTACCGCGATGCCGGCGGGATGGTGAGCGAGCACTGGGCCCGTTTCATGCCCTCTGTCTCCAGCGTCCACTGCTTGAAAGCGCAACTCGCTTTGGTTTGCTGCTCGTCATTCTCCAAACCTCGGTTCCGCTCAATCTTCACCTGTTCCATCGCAGCGGCGAGTAGCTCGTCATCGGACGGCGACACATACGATGCAGCGCTTTGCTTTTTGCGGCCCATGCCCGCTTCCTGGCAGCCACCCTCGTGCAAGCAGCCGCTCGCTCGTCCACTCAGCTCGTGTCCGCGGTGGGTTTGCGGTGGCGCGCCCGGGCTGCCGCGCTCGGCTGGTGCACCTCCCTAGCTTTGGCTGGGGGACGGCGTCTGTTCACGCCTGCATGTGAGCAGGAGTGTCTCGAAAAAAACGGACCTTCGCGGGGTGGGAAGGGCGGCGGCGGCGCCCAAGGGCGGCGGCGGGCGCGGCGCCTTGTCGGGCGGGAAGGGCGGCGGCGGCGCCTTCCTGGGAGGGAAGGTTGGTCTCGACCTCTCCCTGTCCCAGCCTGCCATACGCTCCCGTTTGCAGCGACTCGTCGCATTCGATTCCCATGCCCCAGCTCCAAAGGGCGCCGTCGGCGGCTAGGGCGAGGCTATGATCTTGTCCAGCCGACACGGCGACGATGCGCCGCCCAGCCAGGGTCTCGATCTTCTTGGGCTTTTGGTGGGTTGTATAGTCGCCGTGGCCCAACCCCAAGCAGTTGCCGCCATCCTCAGGGCCGGCATCCCAGTCCTGCTGTCCGCGTCCGCAGCTCCACGCAACGCCATCGGCGGTAATGGTCAGATCCATCTACTGACTTGTCTACCGGCTGGAGCCGAGCAGGAGGGCCCGGGGCGCACAACCCCTTGCGCCTTGGTCAACTCACCCCCTCCTTGGCCAAAGTACAGGGGTTTCGATCCGGGCCACCGCAAATTTTGATCAGCAAATTTCGAGGGGCGGCCGCAAATTTTGAGGTAGATTTTGATTGTCAAAATGTGTCCGTCTTGGCACAGGATAGAGCATATAGGCGGCGAACACCCAGGTGCGCAGGGACATCGCGACTCTGCCCGCTCGCTCGACCCTTTTGCCGCGAGAGGGCGCCGGCCGCGTGTAAGAGGTGGCTGGCGCCCTGAGGCGGCAATTGGTGGCGTGGGGAGTGCGGAACGCTACTGGCGGCGTGACAGGACCTCTCTCGGTTGCGTGTGCCGCCCATCGGCACGCGGGTGCGCAGACATCGCGCGACTCTGCCCGCTCGCTCGACCCTTTTGCCGCGAGAGGGCGCCGGCCGCGTGTAATCGTGTAAGGAGGTGGCTGGCGCCCTGAGGCGGCAATTGGTGGCGTGGGGAGTGCGGAGAACGCTACTGGCGGCGTGACAGGGCCTCTCTCGGTTGCGTGTGCCGCCCATCTCGACCGCCCATCGGCACGCGGGTGCGCAGACATCGCGACTCTGCCCGCTCGTCGCTCGACCCTTTTGCCGCGAGAGGGCGCCGGCCGCGTGTAAGAAGTGGCTGGCGGCCTGGCGCCCTGAGGCGGCATTTGGTGGGGTCAGCGTGCGGTGCTGAGTCTTACTCGTCGGCGCTGGGGCCAGATCCCAGCGCAGAACTCTGCAACGCTGGCATACAAACACAAGAAGACTAACCCTAACCCTAACCCTAACCCTAACCCTAACCCTAACCCTAGGTCAGCGTGTGGGGCTGAGTCTTAGTCGTCGGCGCTGTGGGGCCAGATCCCAGCGCAGAACCCTGCAACGCTGGCATATACAGACACAACCAGACAACCCTGACCCTCCCTAACCCTAACCCTAACCCTAACCCTAACACCCTCTAACCCTAATAACCCTTAACCTAACCCACCCCCCAACTCCACACCGCAAATTTGAAAGATCTTGATGAAAATCAGGCCCGACTGCAAATTTCTTCAAAATTTTCGCAGGCGCTCCGCGCCTGCAGATTTTGAAATAAATTCGACAAAATTGGTACCTTCCTGGCCCAACCCCCTCCACACCCCGTAGGCGGCCTAGGCGGCCCAGGCGGGGAGCGAGTCTCGCGTCACGGCGTCACGTCGAGTCATCTCATGTGCGACGTTTGAGAGAGGAAACACGAAAAAAGTTCCGTCACTCGCGGCGCTCGTGTCCCCCTCTCCTGCTCCCTGTGCACCTTTCATCTCACACACCTGTCCACATGCTGCCTCAGAAGCCACGACCGTCACGACTGCGCACTCGTGTGGGCTCATGCCCCCTGCAAGCTGCGAACGGGCGGCGGCAGACCCTGCGGCGTTGGTGGCAAACCGGAGGCGGTGGCAGACCCCACGAGGCCCTGTGGCGGCGGCGGCATCCCCCGCGGCGGCGGCGGCAGAGGGCGGCCGCCGGAGGCGAGCGGCGGGGGAAGGCTCGCCGGCGCAAAAGGAGGGGCGGCGTGTCCGGGGGGGGCGTTGACGTGCGCCGCGCGGCGTGCGTACCGTGCGTCGGCATTGCGCTCGGGCCCGCGGTTGCGCGGGAGGTCGAGCCACGCGAGCGGCATCCCGTGCTCGAGGCTGTCGTCAAACACGCGTGGGTCCGCCCGCACGGGCAGCGGCGGCCGCGCGCGCGCGAGCGCGTCGCGCCGGTTCTGCCGCCCATCCTCGG